ACCTCAAAGTTAAGATTCAAGTTCATTTAGCTTAATTGTGATGCAACTAATAATTTTCCAGAGTTGGATGGTTGAATTGGTCATACTTCATTCACATTTTATTGAATGCAATTGTATTATCAAAACAGAAGTACATAATGTCCAACACTCCAAACAGTGAAAATCAATTCCAACCTCTAAGCCTTCTCTTTCTGGAACAATGATGCAATTCATGGTTCCTATCAACTTGCCACTTCTGCTTAATACTTTCTCATCTTTTGTTGTTTAATTGCTTATTTAATGGTCACATAAACAGGCTGCTCAAGATGGCATGGACATTATCAATGGACTTGGCCAGCATTACATTTTGCCATCCTATGACAACATGTGAGCCTCCTTTAGTCCAAGTTCTTGTAGTTCGTGGACTTGGCCAGTTGAATGCCCTGTAGTACACCAATTACTTATGCCCTTGTAGAGTCAGCCATCCTATTAGATATGAGTATAGTGCCCATACATCTTTGAGTTTTTTAAAGTCCACTTCTCTAGATGGACGTTGGTTGCCCATGATACTGCCATGAAGATATAACCGGATTCAAACGGGGTGGATTCGAATTTGATTCAATAAAAAAAAACCAAATGATTTGAATTTGAATTTGAATCCGTTGGATTTTGTATTCAATGGTTTGAATTTGACTCAAACCTTTTCATTGGATATTTGATACAGATCCGATTCGATTCGATTGAACATTTTTGAATCAAATACCCGATTCGATCCGATTCAAATATCACCAATTTAACCTGTAACCTATGCATTATCAACAATTTAACACACTTCTAAGCATAAATTTAACCTATAAATTTTGACCATTTTAATTTACACTTAACATAAATTTTCGAATCAAATATCCAATTCGATCTGATTCAAGTATCACCAATTTAACCTGTAAATTTTCACCAATTTAACTTACACTTAACACAAATTTAACCTGTAAAATTTCAGCAATTTAACCTCTTAATTATCAACAATTTAACATTGACTTTTAACATTAATTTAACATGAAAATTTCACTATTTCAGCAATTTAACCTGTGAATTTTTTAACAAATTAACTAGTGAATTATCAGCAATTTAACCTGTAATTTTCAGCAATTTAAGATAAACTTCTAGCACAAATTTAACTTGTAAATTTTCTGAAATGCCCAAATATTATATTCAATTTAATATTCAGACAAACCTATTCTGATATTCAATTTAACATTAAGAAAAAAATATCATACATAATTGGATTAAAGTAGACTTTAAAAATATAATAAACATGTATAACAAAAAATGAAAAATCAGATTGGGCATTCCATAACAAAATAAAAATTATACATAAATGAAAAATCATATAGTGCATTTCAGATCTCAGACTTGTGTTTGTCTCACTGTTTGCATACAGCATATTCAATTAATCAATTTAATATTCATACACGCAAAAAAAAAAAAAACAAATACACTCATACAAAAACCTAAACAGCTAAGCAAAATATGTGTTTGGTTCCGTTTATGTTTATTGAGTAAACGTTGCCACATAGGCACGCTATCAACAAAGGCCTCATTAATTGCATCCATATGTATCGGTGTTTGCAATTCTGTGCGCCTCTCCCATTTCAGGAAGCTTCATTTTGGAGCTTCCTGGCACTTTGCTGATGTGGTGCCTAATGGCGCCTATGTGTCATAAACGCCCTCATTAATTGCTTTTCTCGGTTTTGCAGCCACACAAGTACAAAACATTTACTCAATATAAGTAAATGGAACCAAACACCCTCAAAATCTTACTCGAACAAACCTAAACGGCTAAACCTATTCCATATGATAAAACTCATAGAAAAGGGAATAGAAAAAAATAGAAGATGGGGGAAGAAAGATTACTGGTGGTGCTATTGAGTTGTGAATGGCTAAATGCTAGGCATCCGGCGACTAGGAATGGTCAAAATTGAACCAAATGGGTGAATGGCAAGTCATCAAGTGGCAACCTACGACTAATCACCAGCGAGGGCAGTAGGCAGCAACACAGTGGCGTGCGACAGCTAGGGTTCTTTGCCTTCTTCTCACTTTCACTTTTTCAATTGTTTAGAAGTTAGAAGAGAGGAAGAGTCTAGGGTATTTGGACTCCACTTTTTAGTTTTTACTTTTGTTAGATAGGACCTCATTTTTAAATTTACAATTTTAGACCTATGTAATTAATTAAATTACATTATATTATTTTAAAACAAAATATTAAAATGGGGTATAAATGTCATTTTATAATAATTATAAAAAATAATATTATATAATATATATATATATATATGTGAAGGGTCAGATCAAATCAGATCTTTTTGGGATCGAATTAGGGGGTGATTCAAATTTGATCCAAATTCCAAAACGGGTCCAATTTTGTAATCCGATCTAATTCGAAAGTCCGAAGAGGGGGTATCTGAATCTGCTAATTTCGAATCGGATTAGAATCTGATCCATTTGCACCCCTAGGGCTACTGGGGGTTCCTTGACAAGGGGTAGTTTTTCAAACTAAAAAGGAAAAAACATAAATATCTTTGTTTTCCTTTCATCCTTTGGCTGTAGACCTTCTGCCTTGCATCCCTATTATCCTGGTTAAGACTGGTATAAATTCATTATGCCATTAATAACAGTAGGTCCATGTTTCTGTGTGTCTTCATATGTTTGCTTGTGCATTTGCTAAATCAAGAAAATGATTAATATGTTTTCTTTCACCTAATGAAACTAAGCAAGTTGCATTCCATCTGGGAAACAATTGATTTAAATGTTATGCCTTTATTAGCAATGAAATCTGTAAGTTAATTTTCTTGGTACTTGGAGAAAAAAGGGGTAAAACCTCTCCTTTAAGAAAGTATACTTGTTGGTCAATGTATGAGCTTATCAGCTGTACCAAAATATTTTGAGCATTGTGTATTAGGATTTAGGACCTTGTAAATAATTTTAGTGTTGGTCCCTGAATGAAAATACTGAATCTCACTGAATTTCTTAAACATTGAAGATAATGAGAAGAGAATATTTGTCTTTTTTTTTTCTTTTTTCTTAAGTTACTCTTGTTCAAAAATATATACAAACTCTCTACTTCCAAATAGTCCTAAACATGGCAAATTGGAGGATATTCCAGACAATTGTAATTTTTCCCTCGTTATAAAACATAGAGAAGGCCAAGAGAAAATAACTCAAGGAACATTGTATGTGGTGACACAATACATACCAAAGAACTCCAAATGTAAGACTACACAACGAGGATGATGATGCAATATATCAAGGGACAGTTGGACGGGGGCACTGGTTTTACATTAACAATTATCATCTTTTTACTGTTGACATTAGGTCTTCTAGGTTTTGTTTGGCCTTGCCCTATCCTTTTTTGGGGGCTTGATATTTGCACCACTTCTTTTATATTAAATAGAAGCTTAATGTTACTAAGAAAAAGAAGTAAAATTTAAAAAAAAAGAGGAAAGGAAAAAGAATAAAATAAGAGTGATTAAATGATATGCAGTAAAACGCATGTTGCAGATGGGAACTCTTCTCAGAATCAAGTGATCAACTGCTGACATCTTAAGTACTGCATTTATTGATTGCCTTGCATAAGAAGATCGTGTTATCTGCAAACTGGAGATGAAAAATCTTGATGCTATCATTACTCAATGACAACTTTTCTTTTGCTATTGCTGAGATATTTTGAAATGCCACTTGAAAAGTGCAACTGCTGTTTTCTTACCAATAAGACCAATATCTTACCCATCCAAACAGTGTTTGTAAGAAATAAAGGAAAGTACATATTTTCTTGAAGAGATGACCCCATATAGTTGGGTTCTTGGATGATGATGATGATGACATTTTCTTGAAAGCTTTTTGTGAAGAAAATATCTATATTGCCTCAATAAGTATCTATATTTACACAAATGTGGCTAATTTCTTGGCGCAATGGTAAAGTCTTGGGAGGGTGAGAATGTGGATTCAAGTCTGAAAGTGGTCACTGTAAAAAGAAAATGCCAAGCTTAGGTTTGTGTCCAGTCTATTCTTCCTAAGACCTCAGAGAGCATGGACTATTGTTACATATACAAGTGTTCAAAGAATGGCAAGATTAGTTCTTGGAACAAAATAATGGAGTCAAAGGCATGATTGGTGGAGTTCTAGTGGTTGTCCTGCTTTAGTGCTAGTGTAGCTCTAAGGATGCAATGGTTCTTGGTAAGTTTCTGCTTCTCAGAAGTAAAACTCGATACCTTACACCGAGTTTCCAATATTTAAAACAGTTTCTCCTATTTCATGAACAGTCCACATTCTATTGGTTTCCTTGCACCATTGGATGGAATCCTGTTGGTACATCCTAAGCGTCTGCGTAATTAGCTTATTCATTAAATTACTTTTTGTTGTGTTACAACTATTGTGAAGGCAGTGTAAGACATACTCCTTGATGCAAGTGCTATGATCAAACGAGTAGAAATGTATAAAGAATACATGAAGCAGATACTGGTTCCTAGACCTTATTCATCAACATCGAGCAAAACATTAGATAGACCATTGAGAACATGGCCTTCATCCTAGAGCCTGCACGCTGCAGCATGTGCATTTTTTATGTGGAGAACTTTGTTTATACGAGTCACTTAGGGGGGTGCGATCCATCATTCCATCACCGGACACTGAAGGTAAGTCGATGAGTCATGAATCATCCAGCGTCCATTCATAATCCGAGACCAAAAGAAATTAATTTACCACATGGAGAACTTCAAAGTTGGCATAGATGTTAGATGATAGAACTACCTTCTCTTGTCATGTCAGAAATAGACAACCCAATCACCCCATCATCCCCAACGTAAGAAGGGGGAAAGAGAATGGTTGCCCACACTACATAATAAATCACCTGAATAAGTTATTTCCTGAGTCCTGACCACAAAAAGCTTTTTAAAAGAGGGTAAAAGGCTAAATATCCAGATTTGAATATATATACTTTTAGTCTAGCATAGGAAAAAGAAGAGAAAAAGCAAAGACCGGGAAATTTTTTTGTAAAATTCCAACCTCACAGTTAATCAAGAGTCTGATAACTTATTACAAGCAACCAAAAAAAAAAAAACAAGCACAAGGAAAAGTTCACATTCCAGCCCTTTTCTACTTTTGCCTTGATGTATATTTACATCTCTCTCTCTCTCTCTCTCTTAGAACGGCAAGGCAAATAAGATGTGATTAATTACATCAACCAGCATCTAAACCAATTTGTCACAATATGATCAGGACTAGTAATTAACAACATGTTTACTTCATTTCACATTTTCAGAACCAGATGATAATGCATGGCTGATAAATGAAGGCAACATAGGGTAGAAGGGGTTATATAGCATTAAAAGAGATATCTTTGTCAAAGCACTTAATGAATGAAGCACTAAAATTTACTCTCTTTCAAAATACCCAAAGGATATGACCAAGTATGCGTAGCAGGACCCCAACTTGAAAAGCTTATTGCCCAAAAGTGTTGATAGTGATTGTAGACCAGATTGTCTGGATTTTGAGCCCAAACCTCACACCAATAGGAGGGTAGGTACCCAGGTTGGACACTTGGCAAGAAGGTTCAATTTCTTGCCTACACAGTAAAATGGTTTTTCTTTTTTAGTGAGTGAATTTTACAGGTCAAAACCTAGGTGGCCCTTGTGTAAAACTGCAAAAGGTACTATCCATCAAATGGACAAAATACATTAAAAGATACAAAGGCTGCAACTTAATTGTCCAGTTATATGGCAGTTTTACATAATAAGAAAAAACAAAGTGTGAACTTGTGGAATGGGGAACACAATTCATGTCCTATTCAAAGAACATCAATGGTCCCCCCAAGCCAATATCTTGAGTGTTGCAAATCAAAAATACTGTAACTTGTAAGAATTTAATAGAAAAGGTAAAGAGGGAACTTACTACCCACTCCTTGCGATCAAGGTCATAAGTCTCACCACTGTTTGGATAAATAATTATCAGTTTAGATGTCACCTGTGGGGTTAGCCAGTCAAACAATGAGAGTTTATTCTTTCTGTTAAAGGAAAATGTTTTATTAAAAGAGAAAAAGGTAATACAAAGAAGAGGTGACAAGGTGTCACCCCCAACACAACACACAGAAACAAACAAGTATTCAGCATAGTGCTATCTGGTGAACAATAACAGAGCTCTGGTTTTTTTTGCGAAAAATACATGCATTGTTCAATGAATTCACACATTGATTGCAAAGTCATCTAAGATGAAAAGTAAAATAAATAAAAAGCTCTTTCATATTTAATCCTGATTAAAGAACAGCATAGAAGAAGAGGATTATACCTTACGAACTAACAAAACAAAATCATGAACAACCCTTGGAGGAGTGCAGTTAATTCCAACCAACAACCTTCTTACATGAATCAGCAACAGATGCACATTCAAGAAAAGAATCTCCAGTAACTACATTGACACCATCCTTAGAGTTGAATGAAAACCATGCTGGAATCTTTATGTCATCTCTCTCGAGAAGTTCAGCATAGGCCTGCATGACCACCAACCAAACCAAGAGATAAAGTCAATACCAAACTGAAAAGTTCAAACCAAGTACTACAATGGGAATATCATTTTTGATAAACCCTACTCACTTAACATACACTGGTAAACCTGCTTGGATGTTCTACCAAATCATCAGTTTGGCTCAATAAATAGGATCCTCAAAACTGCACGAACAAAATGCTAAACATCCACCTACCATTAATGGTCCAATTTATTCTGACATCTCTTTCATGGCTGAACCATTTACTACAGCTGTCTAGATTTTGGATCTAGATCAGAGAGTATGTAGTTCTTAGAAAAGGCTCATGCCACTTATTGAGAAATTTCAATAGTTAATTCTATTAACCCTGTTGACAGGTGTATTATATGTACTGTACACAGGTTTAGTGCCCGCAGGGGTATTTTTGTAATTTTGTAGTCCTTTTGTGTTGTACGGCYAGTATARTATAAATACAAATGCTTCACTYGCMTGAAGSRGWYCTTTTGAGGCCTTAAGTCTGCAGCCTCTTCTCTCTTCTTCTTCTTCTTCTTCTTCTTCTTCTTCTTCTTCTTTTCTGCTCAACATGGTATCAGAGCAGGACCGACTAGACCT